GGTAACTGTAACGGAATACAGTTACTCATATTTTGTATTTTAAATACGTAACGGCGGTACATGTATTCCGTTACTCCCCAACACTGACAATAGTAAAACTTTGATAGAAAGTTCTTGGTAATATATTTTCTGAGGTTAATGTAATTTTGGAAGGAGAATCCCCCGTATTACTAAAGGTAACAGAGTATTTTATTTTTTCTGAGTGTATCTTGAAATAAAGCGATTTGGTTCACAAAAACATGCATGAACTTGCATTTCCTAAGTGTTTTCTTGTAAAAGTGCCACTTTAATCATAAATCTGCACCTTTACCAATCGTCCTTTGGACATTTCAGCAGTGATATTCAACCTTTGAAAAATATAAGAACAAGCCTTCCTGCTCAAATGACATTCATGCAAATAAACCACATCTATCCACAATGCGTGACGCTCCAGCACAGCTTTTTCATTTCCTTGATGTCTTCCTGTGATGTCCTTCAAATCTTGAGCGTCTCAGGTGAATTTTGCCTCTGCCTTCCTCCTCGACAGGTATAGTTTTGTTGTGTAGACTGTTTATGGATTGATCTTTTTTTATCTCAATCTTATATTTAGTTTTGGTTGGCACTTCTCTTGTCACTTCTTCCTCCGCCTGCTCCTCTGTAGCTCCCTGTTTAGAAACTACGTCTCTCCCACCTCAGCTCTCGCCTGTATGTGGATGTTTCTCCTGCTACACTCTGTCAGAAACTTTCTTTGCACCTTCTATATATAGATACTGCATATATATATATATATATATATATATGGCCACGTGTATTTCACTTCATTACCTCGAGACCTATATTCATTTCCAGTTTTTTCCTCTCTAACTTTTTCTCAGTACCCTCATTCACACGCAGGCGGATGTGTGAATGGCCTTTGGGCTCTGCTTTCTAGAAAGACGTGGTTTTCAAATTACTTATTACAGCTACGTACAACAAAGAAAACCCTGCCGTTGATGCACTGAGCATTTCTTGTTGCTCAGGTTTAGCCTGAAAACAGATTTTGATTTTCTTGAAAAGAATCTGCGAACATCAGTCCCAGACAATCGGAGAGTACAAGACATTTTGTTTGGTGAAATAGAAAAAGTTATAGTGAAAGTATAAATATCAGAGCTTTGTGATACTTAAATGTTTGCAGGAGTTTCATCGACTGACTTATTGCTGGGCTGAGAAATGACAGCCTGACCTGTTAACACCATTTACCCACCAAAAAGTCAGCTTTGAGCTCAGAAATGTCAGCTTTGAACTTCACAAGGACGGCTTCAAAATAGCAGCTTTTCTTTTTCATCCCCCCCACCACCACCACCTAAGTCCAGGTTTATTTTTAAAGGTGTTCCTCTAACTTTCTCCTCCTTTCTGGAGGCATTTCTCATCTGTGTAAAGCGTGTAGTGTCTCGCTGTTGCTTCCTTCCACAGCTGTATGTGTAAGTTCTCTTTTCCTGTTAGTTTGTATAATCGTCCCTTCTTCATCTTCAGCTCCATGTACATCTTTGGAGGCTTTTCTGGTATGCTTCTGAACGACGTGCTGGCTTACACGCCTCCATCCTGCCAGGCCTTCTCTAGCCCAGGTTTGTGCGCCGCCGCCGAGCCAGGCGTTCGTTGTCACTGGGTGAAAAGTAGATGTGTCCCCTGGAAGCCGAAACCCCTCGACCACATTTTTCCTGCTCCGTTCTGCCCTGCTCGGCCTGGTATGTTATGCCGAGCTTCTGTTTACCGAGCAAATTCTTTGCCATTTATATGCATCTGTTTCTTTGTTTCAGTCTAAATATTTTCACTGCCATGTCAACATAGTTTTCCTGAAATGTACCACACAATCAAGCACAAGTGCAACTCCCGAAAGGCTTATTTTTTCACAGGAATCGTAATTATTCTGGAGGGCTCTGAAGTATGTTTGCAATTCATAATTACAGGAACAGAAGGTCAGCACTGCAACAATTACCTAATTTCAAAGTAATTAGGATCGGTCTGAACCAGATGTAGATGCGGTAGCTCTTCCAGGTATTCTGCTTCAGGCACCTCGCTCGAGGTTTAAGTAGAAAGTAATTATGAAAATGATTTTGCTGTCAGTTTTAAATGGAGCATAAGCCCACATGGATTGAATGAATTAAAAGATCAAATCAATGGGTTTGCAT